AAAACTGTTTTAGATATATGCAATTTAAGATGTATACATTATATATAGTATGTATTACTATGGCATATATAATATAAAGTGCAGTGTACCCTCTGGTCTTTATTTTACTTGACACTAAAAAATGTCAGTCATGTCTTTTTAAAGGCTGAACTACATTTCATTGTTCCATTGGAGGACAACTGAGTTTTCCTCAGATATTTCACTTTAAAATGCAGTGAAAATCTTGAGCATTAATATGAACAAAGTATAAAAGGTAGAATTACTTATCAAGTGACAAAACATTTTGGTAGAAAGTGCCTCCTTAAAAGTTGTTCAGCTTTTTGCAACTCTCTCAGAATTTCTTGTAACAGGAAATATGTTTATTCTCAAGTTACTAGTTGTTCAAAATTGATACCTCATTGCTTCAATTTTTATCTCCCTGGTCACTTTTGATTAAGTACAGTTTTCATAATTTATTAAACACTTGGTTTTGTTCTGTGAATCTGCTTTATGTAATAAATTTTTCCTCATGTTTTTATCCTGTGGAATTGTTTTTCTTTTTCATCTGAAGGAGCTCTTTGTATATTAGGAATATTAACAATTGTGCATGACAAACATGCCTTCTCAAGTATTTGTAGCAAGTATTGTATATTATGAAATTCTTTCTCTTTCTTTTTTCCAAATGGCCCATTCCCTGTGTTGTCCTCCTTTCTAGTTGCCTTTTTGCTTAGTCTCTTTGTTTCCTTATTTTTATCACCACTAAACTAGAAGAGAGGAAGAGATATGAAATTAGATATTTCAACAGGGCTATGTCAACTTGAGTTTAGAGTTTTGAGTTTAGAGTTGAATTTTGAGTTAGAAAGAAGATGAATGCTCCTCATCTAATGTGTATATAAGATTGGAGAAATGTCCTGTGTCTTTCAATTTTTCATGAGGTATCTTTTCAATCAGAACCATAAATAATGCCTAATTGTTTCCAGTAAAAACATTAAACTCATCAAATTACTGGCTAATGAAATGGAAAAAACTGCGATTATTCATTTGGATGTTCCAATGCTTAAACATCTCAATAACTGGCCAAACATATTTTTTTTAGTCCAGATATTTTAGTCTGTATGCATGGATTTTTAATGACTTGGGACAAAAATATTAGTATGTATGGACAACTGAAAATTGGAATGAGTGGCTACAGAGCAAGAAGTTTAAATTAATATTAGTATGCGTTCAAAAATAATATGCATTGTTGGATATATACTAGTCAAAATATGATCAATTAGCAAATACTTGAAATATTTATGTAACATTCTATACTGTAATGTTTCCTATAAGCAGATCCTGCGCTAATTTATTTTTTTCGTATCATGAAAACAAAATATATGGTTAATTGTGCTACTTATTCACATGAAAATTCCTGCAGGTTAAAGATAGATCGAAGAACACCACCTTAGGAAAAAAACAAGTGGTCCAGAAATATATTTTTTGGAAGGCTTTTGAATTGCCAACTCTTGCAAATGTGCATAGGAAGGAGAATAAAATGCTAAATATTTTTAGAAATAAATTCTTATATCAGTCTCCCCAAATAAAGAGTTACTCTCATCTTTGTGCTTACTCATGCACAACTTTCCTTAATGCTTTAGTTTATTAAAATTAAATTGACAGTCCTGGTGCTGAACTAACTTTAATAATAATGGAATATATTTTATGGTTTGGCTATATTCCTTCATAACCACTGGAAATTCTGCTTGAAGTAATCTTTGTGACAAAGAAATTCAAAATTTTTTTTTCTTCTTTATATTAATTAGGGAAAATTTCCAAAAGTATGTGTTCTTAAATTTTTTCTTATAGATTACATCACTGCGACAAAAGAAAGAGTATCATTGTTTATCTAAAGAGCAGGCGATTTTCAACTTTATAATATTTAAAGTACTTATTTCTGCATATAATTTTTGTTTTTATTGGTAATTATTCTTTTCTGGGAAATTAATGTACATATTATTAAGTTTCTTAATTTTGTTTGTGCCTAAATAATCTCCAAAGGAGTATTTTGATATCAGTTGAATGCTGAGTTGTAAGGTTAGGTGTGGTAGGTTCTACGATGTTAATCTTTCATTTTATACCTTTAATGATTCTTACTCTTGGCAAGTTGCAATTTAAGAAGCCAGAAACATCAGTCTTACTATGCAAAAGGAAAGTATTTGACTGCCAAGACAATCAGCATTTATGCAAATTGAAAAAGTTTGCCCACCAAAGTCATCAAAATTTATGATTTAAGAAAATATAGAAAATGTTATGACTATGTATAAATTAAACCCCATTGCTTTTACCTTAAATTCATAAGGGAGATTTTTATCTTGTTGCTGGTTTACTTTAATCTAAGAAAATAGCAGGCACATTAAAAAATAGCTTACATAATTATGGGCAAATTTATCTTCTCATACATAATGAGTGGCGTATAATCCGCTGGAAATTTAAGAAATTGGCCTAGTTCTACTTAGTCATGATAATTTTGGAAATTTAAGAAACTGGCCTAGGTATCCTTAGTCATGATAAACATCTGTTTTCCTTTCTAACTCTTTTATATATGGGTCATCTGTTTGTTTTCTGGATTAGGCTTTGAAGGAAAGCAAGTAAAACTTGGGTTTCAGTCTGTTTCCTTAATAAAAATATGAGTATTATTGGTCATAGGTGTTTTTATTGGGCCTCAGTTTACTCTTTCTAAAATGGATTCTACTTTATTGGTACAAGTCACTATTTGGTAGCATTCAATAATAAAAAAGAATTACATCTCTGTGTTACATTACAGTAAGTCTTCTCCCTAATTTTAATAGAGATTCATTTCCCTTATTTAATAAAAGGAAAAAATGTTTAGAAATAGCAAGAGGGGGCTGGGGATTTAGCTCAGCGGCATGGCGCCTGCCTGGCAAGCGCAAGGTCGTGAGTTTGGTTCCTGGTACGGAAAAACACCAAAAAAAAAAAAAAGGAAAAGAAATAGGAAGAGGAAGTAAAAGTGATGATTTTACAGGGCGTTGGGGTGGAAAAATCAGAACGCTAATATACTTTGTGAACTCCACATTTGCTTGTTAAGGATACCAATGATTCTCATTCATTGAGTAACTGAACAATTAAAGATCATGGTTTATACATTTTTGTGAAAAGTTGGTTTCACCTGAAGCAAATTTCTGCTCTGACAGGACAGAACAAGACAAATCTTGGGTCGTGTCAAATTAAGCCCGACCTGCTTGCAGTGGCTGATTTAACATGTGATGCAAACATTAACTACAGATGTACCTTAGGCTTCAGTGCAGGGTAGGCATGAAGTTATGCTGCATGCATGTGTAAAAATCATACCCTAATTAGATGCTCTAGATACTCTAAATCTATGCTGAGTGTGTGCAGATAAGATTTTAAGTATAAACATATTTATGTTTACCCTAAAAGTGAGACAAAGCTAATAATTAAGGAAGAAAAGATCCTGCAGGACCTGTTTAGATAGCTGTTTCTTGAAGAAAAGAACAGTCTCCAAGACGTCAATCCTATTATTAAAGATTGATTAAGTAGCTGAGTTTTTCTTCATTCTATCCTTGGAGAAAATGAAAATAACCAGTCTTTCTCTACTTCAGACTAGCCATTCATATCCTTTATGACAGTTAGGTTTCCTCCGAGCTTTTCCTTTTCCAGGACAAATTATCCTAACCTCTTCAGTCTATCCTCATAGGTCCCATTTTTCAACCATTAAATCATCTCATTATTCTTTCCTGTACCTTTTCCAGTTTCTTTAAAATCTCTCTAAAAATATATGTGATGTCTGCACACATCAGATAGGTTGGAACTTAAGGAGTATATTAATTTCTACCCTCTAAATCATGGTGACGGTCATTATAACAGGTCAGTCAGATAAGAAACACAACAGAAGCCAGGTAAACATGTAATATTGTAATTGAATGGATTAATATGATCAGAAATAGGAAAACCTGTACTTGAAAACTGTCAGAAGGGCTAATTGCAAATCCTTTGGGAAGATACCAAAACACAAAATTTATTATAAAAAATTATTTAAAAAGCAGCCAGAGCTACTTTTATTTTACCTTTAAATAACCTGATGCTTCTTTTTACTAACTATCCTTCTGTAAGGGAAAAAGCTGGTAGGTGAGTGAACATAATCTCAAACTCAGAACAGAAAATATATCATACAGGCAGCTCCCAGTTGCCTCTAGAAAGGGCCCAGATAAAGTCAGAGACCTCAACTTCATTACTAGCCATAACCACTTTTCCAGGCGGAATTATTGGTAAGAAGGGATGGGTTATGTACCATTATCTTGTTTTCTCGTAGAATATAGCCATGAAGAAGAGTGAGCTATTTCCTCTGTCGATACAGTGACCTAGGTTCATTGCACTGCATTGTCTTCTCTGCAGGGTTACACTGACTTTGGGTGATTATGGTACTGTTGTTTCAATCTCTACTTTCTAAGGGGGACAAAAAGGATCCATAACCTCATAAATAAAACAACTCTTCTACTTGTGAATTTCTGTGAGAACAAAGCTCGACTGTACTGAAAACCTAAAGTAAAAGTCCCTAAACCTTTTTCCCTCTTATGTAAATTTAAGAACATTAATAATTGAATGTGTGTTTTTTTGCCCAATTCCTGCTCTCTGTCCTGGGGTACAGTGTGCACTATGGAACTGGGTGAACTGCTTCATCGGCTCCATATGAGAGAAACAAGTCACTGCTAAAGGAAGGTACTGTATTCTTTCCAATAGCCTCCTTATAAATCAACAATAGATAATAGGGATCGCAACAAAGACAGCTTGCAAGAGCTTTAATTTCCCAGATGGAAGGCTGCAAATTTCACCCATTGCTGGTTTATTTTCACTTTAAGGCTTTAGAAAAAATAAATCAGCTATGCCCATATTGAAAAACCACAGGCAGATCATAGAGGGCTCTTGCACTGAATGGTGTGCAGGAGTGAAATATTTTTATTTTGCACTAACCCCTCTCCAAAGCTAATGCAGTGTGGTCTTACCATTTTTGCAGACAGGACAACATTGTTCTGGTTCATAGACTGGGTTGACACACTCAGGAACCGCGCAGTCTGCTACAACACAGTGAACTTCATTGCTGGGCTCACAGCGACACCATTCACATGGAGAGGGCTAGGAACAAATCTAAAATTAGCCCCTTTTCTCCTATAACTTAATGCTTGCACATTCATACGCTGTCAGAAGACAAAACATCAGTGTTTATATTGGCTTTACTGCGTTAACTTCATTTACCACGTGTACCACCATTCTCCCCCAGTGGAAGGCAGTCTAGACATCCAAGCAGATGTGGTTTGTAACACACAGCCCAGGGTTGCTGTGAACAACTACAGCACCCATGCATGACATTTCCTACGGCCCTATCCTTTTTTCTTTTTTTCAGAGAAATGTTTGGACAACTAATGTGCCATCTCATGATCCGGTTTCCGGAATATCTGATTGCTCTGCCTTTCTCTTGTAAACACAGATGATCCTGGAACATATGAAACAGTTTTTTCCATTTGTCATTTTTTTCTTCCAGGGAAAGAGGCGGATTTCTTAGAAGTACGAAAATGGTAAGGGCACAAGTTTACCCTTTGTACGATCCCTTTTGCAAGCTAACCTAGCCTGTAAATGTCACCTTTTCAATGTGAATTTTAGAGGAGATTGCATTTGGAATTCAAACATCCAGAGAGTGCTTCTTGAAAGATTTAGTGAATACCTTTCATCTTCCCTGCTTGCTTTTATGAATGAACCAAAATCTCTGGAACTAAAATGCTACTATTGAAGAACCAAAGAGTCTAAAACTGGAATTGAAAGTGGTTAATTAAGAGAAAATAACAAAAAGTAGAAAAAGATATTTGTATTTATGGTACTTAGCAATCAAGAGTGAGTTCAAGATTTTTGTTTCTTTTTGTTCTTTTCTAGAAACTGCCTTTACCGCAAATAATAAGCAGTGGTCAGCCTGTGCATTTTTCATCCTGTGTAAGTTCTGGCTCTACTTTCTCATGAAACTGAGATGAAAATTCTGAGATGAATTCTGAGGTGAAAATATGGGGGTCTCAGAAGTCATACAAAGTCCATATTTCTCAAATGGATCTATTTGTTCTTAGATAGTTTTCCACCAAACCAATGCCATGGTTCCTCGTGCACAAATGTGTTAGTGAGCCTTCATCCCTTGTTGCTATGGCTACTATCCATAATCCCTGTCAAGTCTTGTTTTTTCCTGGACTTCAAAATTTGGGTACTATCAGTGCTCCCTGATTTAGGCAATCTGTGTGTGGGAGGTGGAAACCTCTCAATTATTTTCAAAGATCATTTCATCTTTGCTTTGTGCTTGAAGAATCCTAGCCTAGCTTCAATGCTTTTGCTTTCAAATTTAGTCTGAACAAGAGAATTTGTGGTAAAGTAGTGCTATATTTTAAGGAGATCAGTAAGTTTGTGGAAGGATACAATTAAGTGTTTACCATGTGATGAATTGTACTTAAGCATTTCAAGGGAATTTATCACACCAACCCATGGGCTGGGATTTTCCTGGAGCTCCTCTACAGAATTTCAGTAAATTAAGAGAAAGACTAGATACTCTAACACATTATTTTATGCTCTTTTCCTGTTTGTTTTGCAAACCTTATTACTATACTTAAGTTTATCAAGCAAATCTGTCACAAAGTGTTCTCCCTTTGATGAATGCAAAGAAGTTTCACACAGCCTTCTCAACACGTGGTCTATATTCATGGCCCATGTGAGAGAAAAAGCGAGTGACTAATATAATTCCTCCCACATCCTCCCCTTCCACAGCTGGAACTGTTTGTCCTGGTTCCCTTCCTGCTGAAGGACTGCTGGTAGGTGCAGCTCTAGTCGACCAAATAGGGAATAAACATCCATGCAAAAGGCTGAATTGTCAATGCAAAATATGTACTTCAAAGCATCTGTGGTCTTTGAGAAAAGATTGTTGGACTCCTAGATTGGCAACATAAACTGATGAAGAGCAGTATTCTATATTAAATTATGGTTTTGAACATTACTGGCTGCTAGGTATTGTGCTAGGGCATTTATCTACATCAGTTTCCTCATTTCTTGCAATTAATAGTATACCAGATAGCCAGTTAATTGCAAGAAATATCATTCTGTATTCTGATGAGTAGTTGGTTTTTCACTAGTTTGTACACTTCTCTATGCAGACCAGAAACACAGGAATAATGTTAACAATGGAATATTTTATTTATAGAGGATAGATACACCTCGCTAAGAGTATTTCATTAATTTACATGATTAGTACATAAATTGATCATAGAAGTTTAGAACTTTTTAGACTCCTGTAAATGCTAGAAAATTGCAGTAGGCCAAAAATAGGTTTTCATATAGTTTATAGTTTGAAAGAACTGACATATTCGAGCTTCGGATTTTACTGCCTTTGTAGGTATCTTGGAGAAATACTAACAGGTAATAGTCTAATAAAGACCAAAATGTATGCACGAGTCAGCACTGTAATCCTGAGAAATATTCAGAGAAAGAACTAAAGCCACAGCACTTATCTGATGAAAGCATGTATGATTTTTTCATGAGGTTTCAAATAATGAAAAATGTAAATTAAAAATAAATAAAAACATCCCTGCAAACTATTGGTATAAGAGGCAATGATATAAGAGATAGGATGTGGCCAACATGGTTGGAGAAATGGGTGGGACCTGTCAATTGCAAGATCCCAGGAGATACACCCTGGGACACCCCTGATGATTCTCGGGATTCAGTACATGGGCCTTGCAGCTCCCAGGAGATGTCAACAGCATAAAGGAGACTAGATACTGCGAGAAGCCTGCTATTGTGGTTTTCTTGGGATATTTTTGCCCTTACCCTTTCCTCTCTTTGTTCTGCCCAAGTTTACTTGTCAGAACCAGCTTTTCCCTTACCCATTCATCCCTTAGTTTTCAAATAAAGTTTTGGCACCATTTTGGGTTGTCTTGTCCAATTCTTGTCTGAGGCAAGAAGGATTGGCGATACTTTTGAATAGCAACCCATTTCTAAAGGAACTACCGGACAGCATTTTGGTGGGCCACTGACTTTAATCATGTCTTTTATTCTATCCCTTTCTGGACCAAAGTCTATGACCATATGCATGTTCTTTCCTTTTTGATTTTCATTGAATTCTTTATTTCTTCAAATCATCTGTTTTTTTTTTATCAGTTTGTTTCTGCAGATCCCAAGTCCCCTCATGTTCTTCTGCTCCGGCTCTACCACTCAGTCAAATGTAATATACTGATGCCATCCTAAAGTTCCTTTCCATCCTTGCCAGCTTTTGCCAAATTTCTCCCTTTTCATAGTCTTATTAGCTCTGACAGCAGTGTTACTCGCTTTTCTAATTGACTTTATCCCTTGCCCCTCCCTTCACTGCGTTTTAAAAGGATATTGCTTAAACAGCCATACATTACTAGGAGCAGTGTGCTACTTTGACATTAAGTCCAGACTTTAAAAGTTCTTCCCCCTTTACTGAGTAAAATTGGACAGTTTGGAGATTTGGATAAATCCTTGCATCTTAAACACTGAGCTGGTTGCAAATTTTTTTATTGGGGTTTTCAATGTAAAAAATATGTATTAAACCTGAAAATGTCCTTGTAAAACCAAAGATTAATGCATAAAATTCTCCTTAGGAGAACAGAGTATGCTGGAACAAGTATTTGGAAAAAAAAAATCCTTGCTAGCATTTTTTTTGTGGGAGTAGACTTACTAACTTACTAGCTTTTGGTGGGGTGGATAGTCAGAGAGCATGAGTAATTATAGTGAGAGCATGGCTCTTGTGAGCTAGAGATTTGGGAAGTCAGATGAATAAATGACACCATTCTAAAATTTTGTACAAGCAAAATTTTTGTCTAAGAAATCATGTAAAACACTGTTTTCATCCAATCTTTGGAAACATTACTAAGTATACCTTTTCATGAACTTTAGTTGACTTCATAATTAGAGGTCAAATTTATTTTGAATGTATATATTAGAGGGCCTGAATATTGTACATCTGTTATGAATGTTATACTGCCAACTTAATGATTTTGAATATCTAATGTGGAACTCTAATTAAATAGAAAGTAAATATTTTATTGGTAATTCCCACTATTACTGAATGCATACCTTGTATGACAAATGCTGTTCTAGTCATTCCTATCTTACAAAATGCTTTCCTGATATATATAGACATATATATATATGTATACATGTATGTATATATACACATATATATGGATGATATGAACAAATAAAGCAATATAAGACCTTAAATATTCATTTAAGTGACTAGAATTCAAATTTATTCATTTGATATTCAAATAAAAACATGGCAATATACATTTGATTATTCTGAAGACCTTGAATCTGAAATCCCTAAGTCATTGTGAGTCTTAATGATTTTTTTTTAGAATTGAAGTGTAGATAAGAGAAATCTGGAAAAAGCAAAATGTTCCATGAGGGTTTTTTTTTTTTTAATGGAAAGGTAGCCTGAGAACTAGTAATCTAGGTTACTAGAAAAACTGAGTAATTCCAGAAATATTGTCAAATATATTCTTTGTGAGGACTTGGAAACTAATGTGGTCATTACTGAGAGTCAAAATAGGATTTTTAAATCATTACTGCAGACTGGCTGCATAATTTCCATGTGCCCGTAGACAATGCACATTTATTTTGTATTTTCAATGCAGTGCAACTTATCCGTAAGGGAGAAAAGCATGTGTTTTGGTCTGGATAACACTACACCCAGGCACCGGCAGCTCCACTGTGGCTGTCATAGGCATTGAGTACCTGGAAGGTCAGGTTTGTTAGATTCCAACCTGAAAGCAACAAAGAAGAGAGCAGTATTCTAACCCATTTTGCTATTGGAATTTGTTAAATTTTAGGATGATAATGTTCCTATGAATTCAGGGTTCTAAATAAGAAAAATGAAAAACAAGATATTTCAGTTAGTTGGCTTGGGTGACTGGGCCATGGTGATTAAAAACAAGTACCCAGTAGGTTTAGTACTTGGGTTCCAGTTTTACTTTACCTACTAGTTGTGATTGTTGAGAAAATTATATTTTCAATATATTGATATATTCAATATATTGAAAATTTTATTTTGCTTGCCTCAATACTCCCATAATCTATACATACAA